CAAGGGAACTCACTTCAATGATGCAGATTTCATCTCAGGTTAATGTAATTATTATCATGTTACAATGTTTAGGCTGATCTGCAGTATAAGGTTTTGAAAGATGTGTTCAGTTGTATAGATGCCAGTTTCTTCTTCTTTCTTTCAAAAACACAGAACACACCAGAGATTTATACAGTACATGGAGAATCTGTCTGCACCTGATTCTGATGTTTCACAGAGACATGAGAAATGAGAAACAGACTCTTCCACACTTTGTTCACTCTGCAAAACCATGAGAACCTCAGCAGTAAAGATCAACAAGCTGAGAGCTAAGCATTTGTTTGGTTGTCTTTCACCAGTTGCAATACTTTGGGGTTTTAAGTACCAAGGTGTGTGAAAATGTCAGTCTGTTTGTCTTTATTAAATTCAATATTTTTTAAGTCAGCATGAAGGACCTGAACATATATAATGTTGGCAGTGATCAGGCATACGGTGTAGCAGACATTATTTACTATTTCAACTAATAGTGGTAAAGTAACACAATTGATTGAACCAAATTTAAATATATGAAAACATATTTATGCAATGTTTAAAATGAACTGGAAATTAAGTGTTCTGTCAGTTATGTGTCTGAATTGCTAGTTTAAGTTTGTGTAACTGTAACGGGCGGATTTAGTGATTTGGGGGCCCCAGGCAAAATAGATGAATGGGGCCCTATGTATTTGCACACGTTTACAAATTTAGCCTTGAGGTTCCTTCTTTGTTGTGATGCTTGCTGCTGCATAATGGTGCCCCACAATTGTGTCCAATGTTTATACATTTTTCGTGTACATGTTACAATGGCTTTCTTTCATGTTGTAGACCACAAAATAGCAATTGATTTACAGTTTTCACAAAAACAAAATAAATTATAAAATGATAAACCTCACAATTGGGCCTTTAAACATTTTTTTGTAAGAAAAGAGATGTGTCTGAAGTATAAATTATGATATTAATTTAAAACGGGGTTATGTGGGTGGATTTTCGCATTGGTCTGAACAAAAACTACAGACTGGATTATTGAAAATGAACATTCATTATCTGCCAGCAGGAGGCACTTTTGGGACGTCAGAAATATAGCGGTTTCCCCGGTAACGACTGTAAACAAAGCAGCGCTGCTCATAAACGCTACTTTGTCAGATAGAATGAAAATGCAATTGAAACTTTTCTGAAGACAGTCGGTTCCCTTCATTCATTCATTGAATTAGTGAGAATGAGAAAAGTGTGAAAAAATATAGCCTATATTTAGGAGGAAAGTCTGATGACCGTGATGAGTTACCAGCCTAATCTAAACCTCTAATTCTAAATGTTAAAATATGCTTATTTTAGTTATTTTAACTACAAATTTAAATGAAAATGAAAAAAAATAATGAAAAGGAAATTATACATTTACACACCTAAGGATTATATCAACCAAACAAACTGCGTATGCGTCCACTACTTGGGTTCTTATGCATAAGTAAGCAGCATTTAAAACAATAAACATATAATATGCACTGTTGCTCAATATTTAGCAGCTTCAGATGCATGATATTTTCAATTGCTACAAGCAGGACAAGCATGAGAAATGTGTTCAACTCGGACAAGCAGACGGTTGTCGTGGTGATAAAACACCGTAAAAAGCAACTGTTCGCATGTCCGCGCTTAATGCGTATCTTGTAGATGAAAAGCATTTTAGGGGGCCCTTGGCTTTTGGGGGCCCAAGGCGGTTGCCTACCTTTGCCTAACGGGTAAGTCCGCCTCTGAACTGTAATAACAATAAATGCTGAGAGTGCTTTCTATTGAAGTCTTCAAGTTCGTCATTTCTGAAAAAGAAATCTTTCTGCTTGAGATGTGCCCAGGTTTCAGTAGTTTTACTGGTCAATCTCAGTGAGACCACAATCCAGTTTCTTACTAGGCTACAACTGTTTCTATTTTTGTAAATGTCTGTAGAATGAAATACCATGGTGATATACAATTCAGATTTATTACCCTCAATCATAATCTAGTCTTAGCTTTGAGCCCCCGTGCAAAAACACTTCAGTCACTCCTGCTGTCCGACCCGATCCTCCGTGGTGATACTGCTTTAAAAAAAAAAAGGTTGCTGGTAAGTTTGGATGTAATTCTGAACCATTAAACAGTTCTGGATAATTCTTTGACGGTTTTTTCCTCTGGTATTTCACTTTTTTTTTTTTACTCTTTCAGAGCATTTGATAGTATCAGGATCTGATTGTCTAGGTCTGTGGGTGAGGATGTCACTCTGTAGACAAACTGCTCTGTAGACTCTCAGATGCAAGCTGAATTCAATTCAATTCAAATTTATTTGTATAGCGCTTTTCACAATACACATTGTTTCAAAGCAGCTTTACAGAAAAGGCATGTGTCTACATCACAAAGCAAAAGTGAATGTGTCCCAAGTAATGTTCATTTCACAAATGAACAGTTCAAGATAATAGAATCATACAGCTTGCTAACATGATTTAATTTCAGGCAGAAGCTCATTAATGCGATTAATACAAGTGTGATCATAATGATTAGGGGTTGCATGGCGGAATTACTGTACATAGCCTCTGCCAACAAGGCGGGCTATTTGCACTAAGTGTAAATAGACACCCCGTATTTTTTATTCCATAATAAGGGCAATTCATACAATACATTTAAACTGAGCTACTTTAATACCATCTCCGAACTATCTACCATGACTCTGCTGTTCTTCGGCTGGTTCTTCCTGTACACGTTGATTGACAGATGTCTCGTCCAGTCAGCGGTGAGTAATCCCAAACCAATGGCGCTGTCTCAAACTATACCTACCTCTTCCGGTTTGTCTGATTTGTCGTTGTGTTTTCTTATAGAAAACATGAACATGAAACAAAACCCAAACACCAAACCCCACATTACAATTGGTTGCTGCTGAGGTAGGCTAATAGATGCTCTCGGTCTTTTTTGGTTGTATCTTCGCAATGGCTGTAGAAATGGTCGTTAATTCTTGATTTGGGTCCGGCACAGACATGTTACGGGTAATAATATTATCAAAAAGTCATGGCAACACAACACACGACTTCCTAAATCAGTTTAAGTTGAAACGACTTTCACAATCAATTTGATTCAACTTAATTCATGTTTTACTGTTGCTTACTGTCATTGTAGGCTTAGGCTACTTTTTTTCTATGAATTTTAAGGAATATACAAATGAATAAAATTTGTTTTATTTATTTTTTGCTACAGAATTTCCATTTATTTATTTTTAACACCGCACCCCTAGCCCCCCCATTTTTTCTTGGGCTACACGCCAGGGGGTGCTGCAGCACCCTCAGCACCCCTACTTCCCACGGTAATGTATCCTAGGTACTACTAAAAGTCCAGAGTTTTGTGACCTTAAAGAGCGTGATGGATTATAGGGCATAAGAAGATCAGTTAAATGTAAATTGGATTTACAGCCTAAATATGTATATATACAACATGCGCAAAGATTGCTGTAAGGGTCTTTTAATTGCTAAAGCTTCAGCAAGTTCATGCTATGAGCAATATCTAGTCTTTGCTATGAGATACGGGGTATTTTTTCAGATGAGCGCTGCCACCTGTAGGTTCTGTGTGAACATTACTCGTGCAGCTGCTTTGAAGCATGAGGGCTTCACCAGAGATGGTTGGCTCCCCCCACATTTGTCACGGGTCACCTGGGGTCTCAACAAGAGCAAAAAGTGCTATCGGTTCTTGTTCCCACTGACTGTTTCTTCCTCTGCTCAGGACGCTCTCTGGCAGAAAAATGGATTTTCCATTTGAAGAGGAATTATTGCAAAACTGTAAGTACACGCTGGTTAAATAGAAAAGGATTTGAAAGAGTTTATGTCGTTATTTTACCCAGGTTAAGGGAAGATGAAACGCCTTCGAACTTATTTTACTTCGTTGTGTGAAGTAGAACGACTGAGCAGGCCCATCAAATATTTCTGAAAAGTTACAGATCAGAACGACGTAAAAGAATTCGTGACAATGACTGAAAAGAATACACATTAGTATAATTTTGTAAAACGTTTCAAGCAGAACATAGCGATGACGTTAACTGTTTACAAACAAACACTCGACGACGACACTTCCGGGATCATCTTGGAATTCGAATCCAAAGAAGAATTGTATTGGCGTTCGTTCTTATTAACTGAAAAGCTTTATGCCACGAATAGGGAAATAAATGTTGTTCCCTGACTGTTCCGGGAAAAGATTCAAAGCGTCGAGAGTGTCGAAAACAGCGCCATCTGGTGGCGACGCGTCCGGTGTGCTATACATGCGATTGTGCGCAGTGTTGCCAATTTAGCAATTTTGTTGCTAGATTTAGCAACTTTTCAGACTACCCTAGCAACTTGCACCAACTTGCACCTAGCACCAAATTTTGCTATTTTTAAAATGTATCTGGCAAATTTTAGCAACTTTAGAAAAGTGACTCAAATGATTAAAAAGGCATGCATTTTTCCTCTTAACCACACACACAAAAAGAAATTATTAAACAGCTAGCCTAGCCAGCCAAGCAGCACATCAGCTGTGGAGAGAGCTGCCCAGCAGTACACACATCACATCATGTGAATCAAGTTGCTAGTTGCACTTGTTCAATAATAATTGCTCATTTATGATACACCGTAGTTGTTATTTTGTGCCTATAATGGTTAATCAGTTAGGTACACTGTTGATCTTATCTCAAAAATCAATCTATCTCATCTAAATGGAATGTGTAATTTAAAATACAGGTAAAATGCTAGTGAAAAATTAATACAGAAAATTCCTTCATATGTTAACACATACACTGTGCCCTATTTTTATGGACTTTCCTTAAGAGTGTAGCATTTAACTTACTACCAATACACTGCTTAAAACTGTAATTGTTAATAATGTGTAGTGTTACTAGTTATTTAGAAAATACATCAAATGTAATTTTTCAAAAATCTGTAACTTTTAAATAATTCAATGTAACAAAAATTTGTTTTTTATTACTTTTACAAATAATAATGTTTGTCACTACCTGGCATGAAGAAGTCCTGGCATGAGAACATCACTCAGGACCTGAGGAATCACCTAGTGCACAAGCTGTGAGTTCAAGAAGAGCTGTCTCTCATCATAATGGGTGTCTTTGGTTGTTTTTGAGCATTTTTCAATTTCTTAAATGCTCTTGTAGGGTTCAAGCCATATTCCCCATCCCAGACCCTGCAGCACTGCAGGACAGACGCTTGGGGAACTTGGTTGCTTACGCACGTAGAGTTGAAGGGGATTTATATGAGTCTGCCAACAGTAGGGTAAACCACATAAGCTTTCATGCCACATTTCAGCCTGATTTATTATTATTTTTGCCTTTATTTACACTAGAAAAGCCTGAATTTGAACCATGATTTCATGATGCCTCAACCGTATTTTTATTTGGTGATTTTGTCCTGTTTTTATGTCTAAATGTCTTGTGTTCAGGATGAATATTACCATTTACTGGCCGAGAAGGTCTATAAGATCCAAAAGGAACTAGAAGAGATGAGAAAGTCCAAACTGTCAAAGCCACTCACAAACACTCAGGATCCTTAACAGTCTGATTTCATCAGTCCAAAGCTACAGGACCTGAACAAGCCATCGGCCAACAAGTTATTTTTGGACCAGATCAGTCGTGTGTCACCCAGAATGTAGAAGGACTGAGGGATCTCATTGGAGTTTATAATAGCAGTCAGTATGTGCAGCTTCATGAGCATGAACATACATCTGTTATTCTTGATTTGTTATTTCCATGTTTATTTCATAGTTTTTCTCATGTGTATACAGGAATATTTACTCTATTCTGTGTATTACGTATACTTACCATTTCTGATTGTTCTTTGCTCTTTACATTCTGTTGTTGAATGTTAATGTCAAGTTAGAGGAATAAGTGAATGTCTCCACCTAAAGGTTTTCAGCGTCACCGGATGATGTTGTGAAGCAGTAATTCTCTGTGGTCTTTGTATGATATAACAACACTTTGTGCTGAATTTGTGCTGCTCAAATGAAGACAGACTGAGCATTAAGATAGACACAACTGACATTATTGAATAAACTTATTTTTACAATCACTTATGTTCTCCTGATTCCTCCGTCAGCTGAGTTGACATGACAAAGTTGACTGGTTTTGGATTTCAAACAAAACTGATATTTAGACATATCTTTTGATGGACAGAGATCTGCTAAAGAGGCTGGCTGTTAATTTTACTGTAATCCTTGTATTAAACATTTGTTGGCATTAATGTTGTTGTGAATAGTTGTCATTCACTTATTTTCCTTTTTGCAGCATATTTATGACAAAAGTGATACTAAAAACAGGTGAGTGAACAAACACTAATAGCATCTGACATTCTTTTCCCAAACAAAGCTTTAATTTTTACTGTCTTATATTTGTCTTCTTCAGTAAACCCTAAGCATGCAGTGTGGGATCTGAGAGTCGTCGTCTTTACCTCTGAAAGTCTCTGTCTTTTCTCTGATGATTTTTCTCATGTTTGGACCCTGTAAGTAACTGGAATTGTATCCTTGTTATCCTTACAAATAACTGAAATCTGTTTAATGCCCCTTACATTCAATGCGGCTGGTCAAAATGTTTCATTGATGTTATTTAATTATGCAAATTTGCATTCTTCCACTATAAAATCTAGGCTAGTTCCTATAAAACAGAGCAATTTGTTGTAGAATTGCATGTTTGTTAAATAAAGGAAACTATAGAAGCTTATTTCTGCCATGGAATAAAAATATAGTTGTAAAAACAAAAATGTAAGTAATTGCAACCTTTTATCACACAGTTCTGACTTTTTCTTGCAAAAGATATTAATTGTTAGATATAAACTCCCAATTCTGAGAAATACAGTCTGAAATGTGAGATATAAATTTATAAATGTATAAAGTTAAAATTGTAAGATAAAAAGTCGCAGTTACATTTTTTATATTTTTATTTCATGGCAGAAATAAGCTTCCATTCAGCCATTATATCAGCTGATGTTTTATCATATCTGTGCTTTAATAGAGCTCACTTTTCTTATCTCAGGGATTTCTGTCTGCAATATTGTCAGGTTAGTGAACTAACTGAGATTTGCAATCAACCTTAAGTTTACTTGATGTATAAATGCATTTGCATTTGTCTTGTGTAGAAAGCAGTGAGGTCTGGTGAGCAGAACCAAGATTTTCAGGCAGTGGTGAGGCCAGAAATTTTTAATTGAGTGGGGTAACATAGGGTGGACCTCAGTGTCTATTTAAAAGATAATTTTACAATATACATGAGATAAAAATAAGGATGCAAATTTTGTGTGATTTTTGTGATCGGAAAGACTGTATGTATGATAGCCAGTTTTTCCTCTGTGATTATTTACAAAGTCGGTGAGTGTATTGATGCCTAGTGTTTTAAAATCTGATCTCCTCTGACTGAATGGAATCAAAGTCTGAAGCTAAAAAATCATAACCATCATACACTATGCGATTTTCTATGAAATCTGTCGGACTGGCTCTGACTTTCGGCAACTATTGCATGAACTTCTCCAGACTGTAAATCGGGGTAAAAGTTGTGTAGTGTATTCCAACCTCTAGAGTGACATTACATGTTGCTTTGAACATATAAGATCCGATGATGATGAAAATGTTTCATGATGATGATGATGCGGTGTTTTCCAACTTCATTTGTAATTGTTGGGAAGTTCAACCAATAGAAACTGGATCTCAGGTATGATGGATGGGACGATGACTAAAGACCAATCGGGGACTGTTTTACAGTGGTAGCACGCTTGGATTGAATCGCTTATATTGACATCAGCTCTTAAGTTCGCAACAGAATAGAGGCGCAAAACTGAAAAATCAGCCCTCATCCACCAGGATCTTATTACTACTTACTTTTTTTTCTTTTCTTTTACTTCACACATACAAGTTGTTTGTATGTTCATGTATTTGAGCAATTATTAATGTATGCAGGATTTTTCTTTTCTTATTTGATTGGGCTGGCCAGCCGTCAATCTGAGTGTGCCAGTGCCACCCTGGCCCTTATGTAGCCTCAGGTGAATATCTTTTTAGATAGTTTCTTTAATTTAAATTGTTATAGGCCTAAGTGACCTACAATAAAGGCCCTTTGCTTCGTATTAAACAACCAGAGAATACAGAAGTAGATTAAAACACATTTTATCCTAAACCTAGAATGCAGCAGCATGTGATGAGACTCCAGCCAATGAATCAAATCAGAACCAGAGGACGGCTGAATCACATGAACTAGAAATTCTCCTGGCTGGCAGGTGTGATGTGACAGAAACTCAGCCGGATTCAGTGAAATCACAAACATAATCAACAATGAGATAAATTTCGCTTTTGCATAATTTGTGCTTTCCATTTAACAATCATTTGAAACTTAGCAAACTAGCAGCTCCAGTAGTAATTAAAATGTTTATCTTGAACTCTGTCATGGCAAGTAGCATGTATAAACCTTAATTAAACCATTTAAAAATCAATTAAAAAGATAATTATAGCCTACCTGAATTATATCATGTTGTACCCACAATTGTACAAGCGATTTGGAAAATGGATGGATGGGTGATTCAGGCTGCAGTCACCATCTTCTGGTGAGATGCGGGATGTCTAAAATATAAAAATAAGGAAAGGCCTAAAACAGGCCCGATAATAATTTGCGTTTTATTTTATAATTCTGTACAATTGAAATATAAAACACAATTTATAATGGCATATATGTAAAACTTTGTCCTATAATTGTATAGCTGCTTATATTTTCAGATTTTTATGTTGATCTGTTCAGAATACCCTAAAATTTAAAGGATTGCTGCAAAGCAATTTTGTCTGATATGTTAATTATTTATTAGCCTATTTTTTTTTATCCATGCAGCAAATGCTTTAAAAACAGCTTTAACAATTACTTTATTGCATTCCAGACGCTTTTTTTTAAAAGTACTTTTCACTAATAATTTACGGGTAGTTTGAATGTAAAACATTGTCATGAATGCTTTCTATTCCCATTTGTAAAATAGCCAACATATTAATTGTTATAGGCTAACCCGATCTCATGAAAGTACGTATAGCACGATTTTCTGCTTCTATTTGGTGTAATATTTATATGCAGAAATTGACTTTGGCATGCAAAAAACTGATACATTCATAATTAATTGCATGGCTGGTTCAGTCGACAGAAATACGGGACACAAAGGCCTAATTGCTGAAATGTTTGCGGGGCAAATCTGAGGTCAGTCTGAGCGCTCATGGTATGCACAGTGCGTACAGCCGTACACCTGCAGGCGCCACTGAGTTATGATATGAGAATAGTAAGGCCTGTAGATAGGGAGTACATGTTATTTAAGGAAAATATAATTATTAATATTTTTTTTTTTTTTAGAATTACATTTTTTTTCTTCAAATCTAGTCAGTGGAGTAAAACACCCCCAGGAGGCATGGCTTAATTACTGTAGTTACTCTGTTATGAACATCAAATGATTTTCCATCAAATGTATTCTAGTTGGTTGATTAAAAATATTTGGACTTTATATTCAAAAATTACTTCAAGTTAGCATCAGGTAGTTAGCCAGTTAACATCAGCTACCAATATTTTTCAAATAGGCTATTATAATTTTGTAATTAATAATAATTGATTATATTCTTTTTAATTTTAAGCGAAAACTTCATGTACTCTTATTTAGCTGTAAAAGTATAAACCAAATTGTTTTGTCAGACCAAACATGAGAAAATATCAAATTTATAACCGCGATAAACTCCCCGTGCTGGGTTGCGTGGAAAGACAATGATCATCTATCGACGAGAGCCAGAGATATTGTCAGAAGCATCAAATATTGGCAATATTAAAAGGATTTAGCATTTCCAATTAATGTTGGCCTGTTACAGTCTTCTTATTATTAGGCCTATTTTTGTTATTAGGTTACTTTTATTATTAAATTAATATTACAATTACTTGCCCCGCAAGATTGTGAATTGGTGGGTTTTTGTTAAATGTGAGCCAAAATCATCACAATTAAAAGAACCAAAGACTTAAACTACTTCAGTCTGTGTGCATTGAATTAATAAAAAAAAATTAAAAAAAAAGTGAAGTGAAGTGACGTGGCCAAGTACGGTGACCCATACTAGGAATCAGTGCTCTGCATTTATCCCATCCAAAGTGCACACACACAGCAGTGAACACACACCGTGAACACACACCCAGAGCAGTCCTATTAAAAGTCCTAATTTAATACACGAGTTTCACAATTTGAGTTGAATTACTGAAATAAATGAACTTTTCCACGACATTCTAATTTATTGAGATGCACCTGTATATGCACTGTTAATTTCCCTCATGAAAAATTAACCATGGTTTTATTGTAGTAAAAGTGTGGTAACTATGTTTTTTTGAAGCAATGTCTGTTGATCTCCAATCACCTTGGATGCAGTTTTAAACAGCTTAGTCATTCTGTTTCTACCAGACAAGCTAATGCAATCAAACCATACAATGACACACAGAAATTACAGATTGAATAAAACTCAGATAAAAGTGTCATTAACACAGTACATACTTTAAAATAATTCATTTTTCTTAAGAAAAACAAACATTGTTGAACTTTTTTAAAAATGGCCTTAGTATTAGCATAAAAATTTAATTTATTATCAAATAACTGTACAAAATCCTCCACCGCAGGTCCGTGAGATTACAGCCATATCACCCTGCAGCCCAAGACTGGTTGGGTCCTGACTCTCTGTGGTCATTAAAAATCCCATGGCACTTCTCGAAAAAAGTTGGGGTGTATCCCCGGTGTCCTGGCCAAATTGCCGCCACTGGCCCTTGTCAATCATGACCTCCTAATAATCCCCAACCACTTGATTGGCTCTATGACTTTCTCTCCTCTCCACCTGTAGCTGGTGTGTGGTGAGTGCACTGGCGCCGTTGTACTGTGGCTGCCGTCGCATCATCCAGGTGGATGCTGCACACTGGTGGTGGTTGAGGAGAGAACCCCCAACATAATTGTAAAGTGCTTTGGGTGTACAGCAATACACAATAAAGCACTATATAAATTCATTCATTCATTCATTCATGTCTCCTCATTTGCTAGGAGACTCTCAATGACAGTATCATCTGGAAACTTCGGTATATACCTATCTTCAAATCAAATGTACTCCTGCAATCATTAGTGTATAAAATATAAAGCAGAGGGGAAAGAACGCACCCTTGAGGGGAACCTGTAGAAGAACATAATTGGAAGATAGCAAACCATTGACTCTCATACAC